CATCGGGACTCCAAACACTACATAAGTATTAGAGAAACATCGGGACTCCAAACATAACCTAAGTATTAGAGAAACAGGGGGACTCCAAACAGTACCTAAGTATTAGAGAAACAGGGGGACTCCAAACACTACCTAAGTATTAGAGAAACTGGGAAACTCCTAACAGTACCTAAGTATTAGAGAAACAGAGGGACTCCAAACAGCACCTAAGTATTAGAGAAACAGGGGGACTCCAAACAGAGAAACCTCCAAACACTACCTAAGTATTAGAGAAACATCGGGACTCCAAACACTACATAAGTATTAGAGAAACATCGGGACTCCAAACAGTACCTCAGTATTAGAGAAACAGAGGGACTCCAAACAGTACCCCAGTATTAGAGAAAGAGGGGGACTCCAAACAGTACCTAAGTATTAGAGAAAGAGGGGGACTCCAAAAAGTACCTAAGTATTAGAGAAACATAGGGACTCCAAACAGTACCTCAGTATTAGAGAAACAGGGGGACTCCAAACAGTACCTAAGTACTAGAGAAACAGGGGGACTCCAAACAGTACCTAAGTACTAGAGAAACAGGGGGACTCCAAACAGTACCTAAGTATTAGAGAAACAGGGGGACTCCTAACAGTAACTAAGTATTAGAGAAACAGGGGGACTCCAAACAGTACCTCAGTATTAGAGAAACAGGGACTCCAAACAGTACCTAAGTATTAGAGAAACAGGGGGACTCCAAACAGCACCTAAGTATTAGAGAAACAGGGGGACTCCAAGCAGTACTTAAGTATTAGAGAAACAGAGGGACTCCAAACACTACATAAGTATTAGAGAAACATCGGGACTCCAAACAGTACCTAAGTATTAGAGAAACAGAGGGACTCCAAACAGTACCTCAGTATTAGAGAAACAGAGGGACTCCAAACAGTACCTAAGTATTAGAGAAACAGGGGGACTCCAAACAGTACCTCAGTATTAGAGAAGCAGGGACTCCAAACAGTACCTAAGTATTAGAGAAACAGGGGGACTCCAAACAGCACCTAAGTATTAGAGAAACAGGGGAACTCCAAGCAGTACTTAAGTATTAGAGAAACAGGGGGACTCCAAACAGTACCTAAGTATTAGAGAAACAGAGGGACTCCAAACACTACATAAGTATTAGAGAAACAGGGAGAGTCCAAACAGTACCTAAGTACTAGAGAAACAGAAGAACAAAACCCAGGGGTCATTATATCTTAATTTGATACCAATTTTCTGATAAAACAATTTTCTCTTCTTATCTATTTACTTTTCCCTTTGAAAGAGAAGTGACATATTGATGAGATAGGTGATATTTGGACAAAGATATCAGTCCAGATTTCTCTATGTTATACATTATATGAGAAAATTCGACTTTATATGATCCGATCTTCCTTTCCTCCGAAAACAAACAAGAAATATATACATATAAATAACTTACATTTATCTTCTAAATCATGTTTAGTGGGAATTAGGCGATTTTTTACAAATAAAAGAATAATATAGTCCACATGGACCCTACAATGTACAAGAGATGGTAAGCTACGTCATCACAGTCTACGTCAGATTTAAAGTATTTCTGTTTCCTGTCGGTAGAAATAATACATACGTCACATTAGAAACAAGGAAAACATCAAATATTGACAACAACAAGGGTATCAATAGTCAATCAGAAGATCAATAGATCGATATTTGATATCACCAATGTTGTCACTGGTGTCCCTATGTACCCAGCCATACTACGAGGTATAACAGGTTTTAGACCTTTAGCGCCCTATACATGTAGCCGAAGGTAGCTTATTTCTAATGATTATCAAAACGACAGACACTGATATCAAAATTACAAATACATAAAGTAGCATACGACAACATACATTGTGTTATCAAATAAATCTGTTTTGATTTTTACCGCTCGGAAAATACCTGGAAATTTAACCTGCAGCCTATCACGCTAACAAGGCAGTTGTTTCTGCTCCGTCCCGCCTCTGGCTCATTTCACTGAGAGTAAGATAACAATTTCAATATATAAATCTCGAGGCAGAAAAAATTGTAAATATTGATGTATTCGGCGAACATCTGAAGTTGAAATCTTTTGAGTAAAATAAACAATGTATATAATCTGGTTTAATGCTGACATGTCTATGTGGGAGTTTACAGATGAACAAAGACCTCTATGCTTAGTTCAAAGTACATAACGCCTGTAATTCTGCACCGCTTAACGTTGTTGCATTTTCCTATCAGATGCAAGTTTTATTTTTATGTTACGTCTCTGAAATGATGTGTGAAAAAGACTCGTCTGTCTTTATGGGTATAAATAATTAGAGAATTACGATTGAGAGAAATCTCTTCTTGTAACTTTTCCAACCTCTTCATTACAAAAAAATCAACAAGCACATTAGAAATTTAGAATGAGTATTCTTGCGATCGCGGTAGAAATTGATATTAAGGAGAGATTAGTATTTTGGTAATAAAACGCATAGCGTACAGAAGGTCGCGTGAAACTCTGAGACGTAAAATGTTCAATGTTTTATCACAATAAACACATTATAACATATGCTCAGCGTGGCTAGACTTACTGGACAGCTTATTACACACTAGATAACGAAATGTAAAACATCGCTACTTACACTATTTGAGAACTATAATAATATTGGAATTGGACAGCGAGCCTAAAAGGTGTTGTACTAAGTTTTATATAACTAAATATATCGAGGCCGAACTCAGGGTGCAGGTTTTGTGAATCAATCGCTTTAAATATTGGGACAGAATTGTAGATATCAGAATGATTTTATCGTATGTTACTGCTATGTTTTGTGTAGATTTACAGAAACATTCAGTGATTAGTTTTAACACATTCTATAGCATGTTAGATATTGCATTTTCCACCGTGAGTTTTTAAAATTCCTTCCATTAGTTTTTTTTTTTAATTATGATGTATCTTTTTTAGATAATAGTCGAGTTTTCGCTACACCTATCGTTAGATAATATAGAATTTACCTTGTATAAAGCTATAATTCAGTTAGCACCAGTTTGACCTTGAATTTAGGTTACATTGAGGAATTGAGAAAAAAAACCCACAAACACAAAATTTCTAATTATAGATACCTTGTAAGCGCCTATCTCGATATATTTTGACCGGATCTAGAGATCTAAATCAGGCTGGTAATGGTAATGTAGAAAAAATTGAATTGTCTGACATAAATACTATTAAGTATAATATTAGACATATCACTACTATTATTCAAGGTTAATTTTTCATGTTTACTGTGTGTAATTATATCTGTATGTATTTATATTGTATGATATGATGATAAAACTTTGCACTATAAAGTATTCCCAGATCAGGACTTGGTACTGATATAGGGAAAATCTTCGTCTGTATATAGTAATGTAATGTTTTATTTAAAATATGTATTTCATGCTGTCATATACGTATTTTATATTTGTTTTATGAAAGAAGACGTTCCTAACTTGTTTAAATTTTGTCTAACTCCATTTGAACTTTTTAAATAAAAGGTTTTTCAACTAAAACAGCAAAAGGTGCATTTTAAAACTACTTAAGTTTCCAACAAAGTTTCTCATTAAGAAAATAAAAAAGAAATAAAAATGATCATTTTGACTTTTCCCCCCAGAAATCATAATGAAATACCGTTTAAGTTCAAAAGAAGGAACAAAATAAGGTAAAAATGCCGTGCTAAAAATCAAATCCGAATGCATGTAATTTTTGTATTTTCTTTTGATAAACTGATTTCAGTGTTATACAACTACAAACCGGGATTCTTATCATTGTTCTGTTCAAACAATAAAAAAATACTGGCGGTTCAAATCAGTTATGTCTTCATCTGTAAAATAAATCCAACTATAGTTGCGAAATTTCAAAATTGTAACTACACATTTGTGAAAATCCTTGTAATTATTTTTTAAAATATCTTTGCCATGCTTTTTCCCTCTATCGCTGGTCGATCAAGCGACAGATGTCATACATAGGGTGACAGGTAAAACAGAAACCACAATTGCAATAAGAACAGTACATCAAATTTCATTTTATCGATTGTCTTAATTCCATAGACTTGGATCTGTCCGTATTGGCCGTGGGCAGTGTCGGGTGTGACCATTAAGTGGGCCCATGCTTTCACTTCACACCGGGCTGTGTACCGTCCACTATGGCGAAGTGGTATAAACAAAGGACCAGTCCTGGAGCTTTACGTCTTATCATGGTTTTAATTGTGTAATTATATTTAAAGACACAATGCCGGAACTAAGTTTACCAAGTTTAGACTGACTAGTGGATACAGTAGATATTGACGGTATCCGAGCACTGTCTGTCGTTAAGCCTCACCCAATACCAATACAATCCAGACACACGTAGTAAAGTCAAAGTTCAATACCAAGTAAAAAAACTAGCACGAAATTCAAAAATTATACCTGTAACACTGTTACCCTATTTGTTTCATAACTAGGGTTAAATAAAAAAGTAACCTGTAGCTGCGTATAGGTGTACAGAGTGTACATGTCATAACCTATTGTTGTTTACGGTTGTACATACTGTAATGTCATAACCTATTGTGTTTATTACCTATTATTGTTTACAATCCCATTTCAAACGAAACGTTCTTTCAATGTTCCGAGGATAATGCATTGGCAGATACGCTTCAGAACACTTCTTTCATTTACACCTGTACTTTTAGTAGCTTACAATTAGGTGTAACACACTCTTTCCGTTATCCTCATAACTGTTACTAGTAGCCCTCCTAAATAACAAGTAAAAATACAAATATTAGATTAATAATTTATTTACTTTATCACGAGTACAATAAGGACAGGTAAATAATTCCCTTTTTAGGAAAACATACGTATAAACCAATCAGGTCACACAAATAGATGGGAACATATTCCCAGACGGAAAGGAAAACTTGTCCACAACGTTATAATTTAAAGGAATTCTATCACTGGAGGAAGCGCGAGCTCCTTCGGCCAACTGACCACTATGTCACGAGATAATGCTATTCTCTGTGGACAAACTGTCTTTCGCCATGACGTTCTCCGTTTTGTGTGATGTTTTACCGCCCATAATGTCGGAGATGGACCAGATACGGGACTTGGGTAGATCGGGACTCGAACTTGGAGAAATACTTGTTTTTGATAGGTCAGCATTTTCCTTGTCGGAATCGTCACTGCTTGACGTGGTCCTATCGTCCTGTTTCATATCATAATGTCCATAGTTCTGACTACTGGTCATAACTGAATAATCATGAGGGTTGTGAGAATGACCAGGATGGTAGAAGTGACCGTTCGTGAACACGTTTGGGACTTGTCCTGTCAATATCGGACTAGGAGAAATGTTTGTTTCGTGGTGTTTAACTTGTGTAAATGTAGCGAAGCTGGGAAGATTTCCGGATCCCGTGTTGGCAGGTTGAAAGGTCATCGTTCCGGGTGACGGGTGATTTTGAGATGTTTCAGTAACTGAAAGTAAAGAGAGAACAATTTAGCATTCTTTTATTAAATAAATGTTTTTTTGTAGATTGTTATTGAGATGTGGATACACACATTTTCACAAATCACTGAATATAATCAACAAAACAAACAACTAAGCACAAAAACATACTGTGTACAATAAAGGTACCCATTCCGCATCATTCCTTACTTAACTTGCCTGATGTCTTTCCCAAACATATGTCACTTCCTGTGACGTATCATGAAGATGGGCATTTTAGTCAGTGTTTTCGTAAGATATTACAATAAACGTTTGAACGCATGTCAATTCAGCTATTCGGATTTTAGACAATTTTCAGTCCGTTTCTGAATGTAGTAATATCAACCATGTTGCTTACCTTGACCAAGTCTCTGAGCTAGTTCCTCTCTTGATTCCTGGTCATCGCTTGTCCGTTCTTCTTCGTCGCTGGACATGGTCGACGTGTCCAAACTGTTGTCCAGTGACCAGTCACCTTTCGTCTCCTTCTTCAGTCTCCTCCTAGCATTGGCAAACCATGTGGACACCTGGGTCAAGGTCATCTTAGTGACGATGGCCAACATGATTTTCTCTGCCTTGGTTGGGTAGGGATTCTTCTTGTGTTCTACTAGCCAAGCTTTCAGAGCGCTCGTTGTCTCCCTGGTTGCGTTCTTACGACGGGCTCCACTCAAGTCAAACATAGCTGGATACCTGCGAACGGAAATCGAACAATGATGAATGTCTCAAAATGAAATGTCAGCAGAAATGGGATAATAAATTCAATATGTTTTGTGGGAAACGGCACATTAAGAGTTACAAAGAGTCAATAAAACTATTTAACCAAAATTACTTATAAACTTACATATAATTGTACATCTGAGATCGAAGTACATTCTCCATCTGTGGTGCACCAGTGCCGGCCGGAAACGGGGCAGAGTAACCGGCAGCCGGAAACATTGCTGGGTCCCATCGACCACCAGGGACCTGGAATTATTAAACAATACAATTATTGTAAACGAGAAATTATAAATAAACTGTTTCAATGTTACGTAAACTTTTCACTGTTATTCAATACAGCTTCCATGGTGTGAGATAGAAAATGCCGCAGTGATTTTAACTTAAATAGATACCAGGGTATGATTGTAAATTCTGTCAGTAAAGGGGTGTCCCAAATATACGTGTTAACAACACTTTCAACTAGGAACTTTTTAGATGATAACATAATTTCTTTAAGATATAAAAAACATTTTCCAGCAATACAATCCAGTAGAAATGATACGTGCTCGTGAAATATGGGCCTGGCAACAAACAAAATAATTAAAACCACAGAATTACCTGTATTAGGCCTTAAAATTCAAAAGTAGAAATAAAATACAAATTCGTCAATACTTTTTCACGTTTTCACCGTCTGGTGATAGTAATTCAAAATAAAAAATAAGTACAAAGTATAACAGGAGCTAGAACGAGAACTTACCAGTGGGTTTGTTACGGGAGATGTGGCATCTAAACCATAAGGATGAGGATAAACTCCAGGGTATGTTGTCTGTGGGGAGGGGCTAGACATCTGTGGAATTCCAGTGGGGTCCCGGGATATGTGTGGCATCCCTGCAGAGTCACGAGACTCAATGCTCTGGTAACAACGACAATAGATTCTGCCTGTAAAGGGATCTGCTGAGGTAGGACATAATGGTTCGGCACACACCTAAAAGGATACACGAAAAAAGGTGTTACACAGCACATAAAATGTTTTTTCGGTGTGATATAAAAAATTCATCGCCTATATCTCTATTCAGTAATTGTTTTCTCTGTGCAACAAATTTCTGTAGTCCTTCTAACACTGTGGTGTATGTTATCTAGATTGTTTTTATAATAATAATTTTCCCGATTATTCAATAAGTTCATAAATTGATAAAATATAAGTAATGTGGAATTTGATAAATTACTTACCATGTGTTCTGGTCTCGCCGCTGCAGAGATCAGATGAGGACTTTCCTTTCCCAGTGACATCGTCTATAGTAAATATCCGACAAGATAATCCAGGGAAATATCACATAAATGTATTTAAATATCCAGTAGTCGTTAGGTATACCCACGTTTATCTTCACACTTGGGTTGTTGGGTGACACTGTATCATTGACATTGATTGTTTTGTCAAACTTTGAGGCTGGTCCGTATTTATAGCTAAACCGACATGGTAAATTAACTCGCACGCGCTCTCAAGGCAACACCAGGATTTCATTTCGGTATCTGAGCTTTCTGATTGGTTGATTTGAAGAATCGGTGATGAAGCGATAGATTACAAGTAAAGGACATGAGAATAAATCTGGATTTATGATCAGATTGCTGCAGGGGTTAAAAACAGGTGTCGCAGAGAATAGAACTGGTTGGGATGTATGTACGGACAATGGCCGATGGCAGGCACCGTCGGGTAGCGCTCAACAATGGTACGGCCTTACCGTCCCCGGTGTGGCTCAAGTGGCCCGACCCCAGGGGGACAGCTACCCTGTGATAGATGTACATACACGTATTAACCGTCGGATTGATTTCTGATAAGATATCTATTGGCTTAATTTAGAAATATGAATTTATCATTTAGCTACCATTGCTGCTTACCTGAGCAATTATCTAGTCAGTTGATCATATTTTGGCTGCGGGTAGTGTTCGTCCGATTGCTATTAACGACCCGAGGTTTTGTTCAAGAGTCATAAAATATCAGATACTCGTCCGATAAATAGTGTATACATCGATAATTACTATACTGACACCAATAAAACAAGACGGGATTACAATTTACGGTGGAATATATACATCGAATTGTCAAATCATTGTTATGACAAGCTGTTCGACTTGGTCATAAACGTTAACATGGCGAATTTTATAGAAATGTTGACATCGACACCAGAAATATCTATTATTACAGGATATAATCTGTTTCTATTGTTATCTTTCATAATGATCTGAGTTTGACTTTTTTAGATAGTGCAGGATATTTTTGTTTAAAACTATCACCATCGTGATTGTTATCTTTATCATAAAAAACCCAATTTAACTTAGTTCGTTGTTAAAATATGTGCACATAACTTGATATGAATAAATACCTGTAGATAGTAAATAGACATTCACTTTGCAAAAAAAAAAAAATAAATAATAATAAAAAAAAAAAAATAAACAAATACAAAAGAATTAAAAAATAATAACATTAAGGGGCGACAAAACAATATACATCAAACTTTATACCTAGAATTAGCAGCTTCGAAAGGACTTATTCTACAAATTAGATTTTTTGTTCCGTAGGACTTCATTTTTCAGTGGTATACATCGTGTTTGATCTTTGATCTCCATATCTATTACATTATATTAACATTGACCGACGTCCATAAATAATACTTAACAAAAAATAAATGTATCTTTAATTCTTATTGATTTTTCTACTTTGAGACTGAAGAGCGATGGAAGATTGAGTTTGATCCAGAATGAATCTACCATGTGCTTTCGTCAAAATTGATGTAATTTATCAGATATATTCACCCGTCATGCGCTTCAGTCTTTTCAGGACTATAAGGAAAAAAATAAAAATCAAATGCTCAATACCATAGAATAAATGAAATAAAATCAAAGATATTGCTAATTTGAATCACGTCCACATAATTTACTTTTCGTCATTTCATAAATATTATCGCCAAAAAGGTTGGAATGAATATTCACATGTTTAGATAACAGCACGATTTCATAACGGAAATAAACGGAAGAAAATTTTGATGTCTTTATAAAAACTAGATAATAACGGAAATAAAGGGAACGAGGTTTAAATATTTATCTGATGTAACAACGGATGATTTCTTTTACAGAAATAAAAGGGAGCGAGGTTTACATATTTATATGATGTAACAACGGATGATTTTTTTTTACAGAAATAAAGGGAGCCAGGTTTAAATGTTTATATAATGTATCAACGGATGACTTTTACAGAAATAAAGGGAGCGAGGTTTAAATGTTTATATGATGTAACAACGGGAGATTTTTTTTTTACAGAAATAAAGGGAGCCAGGTCTATATATTTACGGCGTAACTTTATTTCGGAAATAAAGAGAGCGAGGTTAAAAAATCTGTATGATGTAATAACGGCATGATTTAAAAAAAATGAAGGGATCGAGGTTGAAATTCTAACTTCATGACTTTATTATGGAAATATACTGTAACAACAGCATGAAACAACCATAAAGGGAGCAAGGACGAAATATTTACGGCATTACTTTATTTCGGAAATTAAGAGAGCGAGGTTAAAATGTATTTTTGATTAACAACGGCAAGATTTTAACAGAAATAATGGGAACGAGATTTAAATATTCACGGCATAATTTTTGAAGAAATAAAGGAGAGAGGTTAAAATATCTATATGACACAACAACGGCATGATTTTATTACGGGAATAAAGGAAACGAGATTGCCAGTGTGATTTAATCACGGAATTGAAATATCTATATGATACAACAACAGCATGACTTTTTTTTACAGAAACAAAGGGAGCGAGGTTAAGATATCTATATGACACAACAACGGCATGATTTTATCACGGAGATAAAGGGAGCGAGGTTAAGATATCTATATGATACAACAACAGCATGACTTTTTTTAACAGAAATAAAGGGAGCGAGGTTAAGATATCTATATGATACAACAACAGCATGATTTTATTACGGAAATAAAGGGAGCGATGATGAAGTATCTATATGATGTGATAATGGTATGATTTTATTACGGAAAAAAGGGAACGAGGTTAAAATAGCTATATCACACAACAATGGTATGATTCTATTTACAGAAATAAGAAATAAAGACCGTGAGGTTAAAGTATATATATGACACAAGGACGGATTGATTTACGGAAACAAGGGGAGCGAGGTTACCAGTGTGATTTTTTACGGAATTAAAGTAGCCAGGCACCACGTAAAAAATATCTCAATTTCAGATTTCCTCAAGCCCAGATTTTCCTCAGCTAATATCTCCTTGAAAATATCATGTATGAAAATTCCTCAAGGAATTTCAGGACATCCTAGCCGAGGACTTCCTCCTGTTCCTTGAGAAAATTTTATACAAGCCGTTTTTGAGGAGATATCAGCAGAGGAAAATCTCGACTGGAGGAAATCTCAAGTTGAGATGTTTTATACAAGTGGGACCAGGGCTTCTTTTCATTATGAATAAAGGGAGCGAGGTTAAGATATCTATATGACACAACAACGGCATAATTTTATTACGGAGATAAAGGGAGCGAGGTTATGATATCTATATGACACAACAACGGCATAATTTTATTTCGGAAATAAAGGGAACGAGGTTAAGATATCTATATGACACAACAACGGCATGCTTTTATTACTGAAATAAAGGGAGCGAGGTTAAGATATCTATATGACACAACACACAACGCGCGGTTTTTAGGGAATTAAAGGGAGCGAGGTTAAGATAAATATTTCTCTATATATAAGAATTATGCACTTAGTAACGAAAAAATGAGCGATATTACAATATCTACAATGTTATAAAGCTGCACAATTTCAGAAAGGACACACAGATATGGTACTTATGTGTTTACAGATGAAGTATTGCTTTTTAACAGAACACAAGTTTGGAGTAGAATATTTAGCCATTTATCAAGTTTCAGAAACTAATTATTATACATTTCGTGTCTTAATTTTGCCACATTTTAAATGCATAATTTTGAAATCAAATACGTCATAATATGATAGCAGACTTCATATAAAAGGCGTCCCCGTCATCTATGATACGGCTGATCATACAGAGAGCCGAGCTTAAGTGTTCTAGCCGATACGGTAATGTATAGTATTACTGGGTAGTTTACAAAATGAGTTTATAATCAATGACACATTTACGTTGTGAACAGGTGTGGTGTAGGGAATATTGCGTTAGAGGAGTTGTCTATTTGTAGTTTTACGTACATCGATCCTAATCATGTTCGATAGTTTTTCCCCTGTAATTTGTGAGGACGTGAGACCGGAAAATCGTATTCATTTATCAGTTTTGACAGATTTGTATCGTCTGGTATCCATCATGTTGTGTAGTAAATTTCCCTAGGTCCAACACGCCGTCGGCTAATGTTAATCTATTTGTATGAAAATGAAGGTAGAATCATCACGCATGACTTAATCTGGACAGCGAAAACCGTAAATCAGGGGGCGTAATTTTGGATTGCTGTCACGTGTCAAAAATCGATTTCAATACAAAATTGAAAAATTAGCCATCTTTTTCTACGGAGTCGATTATGATGAGCACCTGTAAACTCTGATCATTATCGACTAAATTGGACACTCCGTGTTCTTGCTATCTCTTTGTAACCACAGAATCTTTCTGTAAAACGAGCAATGCCTGTTATAGTTTGACACTCAGTCAACATTTCTGTTTTCGTTTCTATCGTTTGACAATGCAATTTATATGATCGTCGCTTTTCAATCTACTTGTCGATGATTAGAATTTGTAAAATGTGTACATCAATAGCATAATCTGTAAAAAGTTCACAAAAAATACTTTTTCGTGAGATTTACATAATGTACTAAAATATATATGATAATTTGTGCCGCGTAGAAATAATGATTTTCACATATAAAAATAAGTTTTTAAGGAACTGAACAATACATATTAATGGTTTTGGTCTAGAATACTTGTTCGACCAGCAAAACAAACTAAATTTTTGTCTTACCTTTATTTTTTTTCGGCACAAGTTAGGATTTCACGTGATATTTAAAACATTTTTACAATAGGTTTGCTTTTATTAGCTGAACAGTGTAGAACATTTATGTATATTTTAAAATCAACAACAAATAATCCAAACAAAGCAATGAAATTCCGATCCTAGCAGTAAATATAAGTGAAGGGTTACAGACATGTGCATTTACCCGATATTTCGAATACAATTGATAATCTTTAATCCAGTCAGTGACAGGGTTCGGGATTCTCCAATGTTTAGACTGTCTCATGTTATATTGATGGGG